TCCATCCATGCTGTTGCAAATGGTAAGAGTTCCTTCTTTTTTATAGCAGCATAGTATTCCATTGTGTAGATGTACCACAGTTTTTTAATCCACTCACCTGCTGATGGGCACTTAGGCTGTTTCCAAATCTTAGCTATTGTACATTGTGCTGCTATGAACATAGGGTTGTATACTAGTATGTCCTTTCTGATTGTCATTTCTGATTTCTTGGGATATAGTCCTAGAAGTGGGATTACTGGGTCAAATGAGAGTTCCATTTTTAACTTTTTGAGGAAATTCCATACTGTTCTCCAGAGTGGCTGCACCAATCTGGGAGCAATTCTTGATTGTAGGAGTTTATTGAGGGGTTAGGGCATTGACTATGACTATGGAAAGGAACAAACATTTTTCAAGGTTTTCGTTTGTTTGTTTGTTTGTTTGTTTTTGAGAGGTGTTTTATTTGACAATTGGATGTCCCAACTCAGAATGACATATATGTGTTGATTTGAGATGATAGAGTAGAATCCTCCATGGTCTTATGAAAACTAAGTGCATAAGGAGAAAATGGTAGAGAAGTGACAGTTTTCTTTAAGGTATGAGATGGCAGTGAGAGCTCAAATTATCTCTCAGAATGAGTTGGAAATTGAACTGTGGGAAGAAAAGCTTGTAGCAGTAACTGAAGCAGATTACTTTTAGTGATTTTGATGATGCATACCCTATATTATAGGGCCTATAAGCATAACAAGGTCTCCATGTAGGATGGAAATTTTGTGATTATCAGTAGTTATAGGGACCATGATCCTTGGTTTATGTTGGCGTTTCACTTTGACATATATTGATGGGATGAAAATTTAAAGAAAAATATATTTAAGTAACTAAAATTTTTTTTTCATGTTTCTTTCTTGGTTTGTCTTCCCACCTTTAAACACTCCCCATACCCCCATTAGGTGGTGTGGAATGGCTGCAAATCGAGGATAATGATTTCTCCAATAGACCCAACATGATTTGTAACTTTCTACATGAAAATGAAGATGAAGAAGTTGTAGCTCCAGCCCCAGATAAACCGTTGGAGTTGGAAGAGCAAAACATTCAAATGAAATTTAATTCAAACCTGAGCTATGAACAGGAAAAACCACCACACTTGGAAATAGAGGATTCTGGTCCTCTTATTCTTACTCCTTCTGAAACAGAAAGTTCTGTGTTTATGGAAACTCAAGATGCTGCCTTAGAAATCACTCCTAGATAAAATGTTTTTAAGAATAAATAGAATTTTTTAAATTTTTATATAAAATAATTGACTGCTTAGCTTTTATTTGTTCACCATTTTATTATTTTTATTGGTTGTGCACATTTTCAATCTCAGCTACAACTTAATATACCAGAATCATTAAAGACCAGATATAAATAGAATTTTTTAAAAATATGGTTGTTTAAAAAATATATAGTTAGCCCTGGACTGTGTGGCTGAGTTGGTTGGAGTGTCCTCCTGTACACCAAAAGGTGACCAGGTTTGATTTCTGGTCAGGGCACATACCCAAGTTGTGGGTTCCATCCTTGGACAGGGCGGATACAGGAGGCAACCAATAGATGTTTCTCACATCTGTGTCTCTCTGTCTGTCTCTCTGTTCCTCCCTCCCTCTCTAAAAAAAAATCGATATTAAAAAAACACATTCTCGGATGAGGATTAAAAAAATATGGTTAAAATGACTATAGAGAACTTTCTCTGATGGTTCTTCATTTATTTTTTAAAAATATTTTTATTAATTTCAGAGAGGAAGGGAGAGAGAGATAGAAACATCAATGTTGAGAGAGAATCATTGACCAGCTGCCTCCTGCATGCTCCACACTGGAGATCAAGCTCACAACCCAAGCATATGTCCTGACTGGGAATTGAACCATGACCTCCTGGTTCATAGGTGGACGCTCAACCACTGAACCATGCTGGCTGGGCTCTGATGAGTCCTTTAAACTGGAGGTTTTACTATAGGTGTATAATAAGTTTTCTCTTGCAGTCATCACAAATTACCACAGCTTAGTAGATCAAAACAACAAAATGTATTTTCTTATAGTTTTGTAGGTCTGTCTGATGTGGGTCCCAGCTGGACTAAAATCAAGGTGTTGGTAGGACTTCATTCTTTTTAAAAAAATATATTTTTATTGGTTTCAGAGAGGAAGGGAGAGGGAGAGAGAGATAGAAACATCTATGATGAGAGAATCACTGATTGGCTGCCTCCTGCACGCCCCCACTGGGGATCGAGCCCGCAACCCGGGAATGTGCCCTTGACCAGGATCGAACCTGGGACCCTTCATTCCACAGGTTGATGCTCTATCTACTGAGCCAAACTGGCTAGGGCAGGACTTCATTCTTTTCTGGAGTGGGAGCTAAGAGGTAAGGGTGGAGGATATTTCCTTGCTCATTCATTTATTGGCAGAATTTAGATCCTTGGAATGAAGGATCAGGGTCTCCTTTTCCTTGCTCTCAGCTAAGAGTCATTCCCAGCCTCTAGAGGCTGCCTGCATTCTTTGGCTCATGGTCCCCTTCTCTTCAAAGCCAGCAATGGCAGGTCAAGTTTCCTCTCCTGCTTAACATCTGTTCTGCTTCTATTCTTTTGTGTGTGTGTTAATCCTCACCCGAGGATATTTTTCCATTGACTTTTTTTAGAAGAATGGAAGGGAGGAGGAGAGACAGACACTTTGATGTGAGAGAGACACATTGATTGGTTGCCTCCAGCATGCACTCGGACCAGGGCCAGGGATCTGAGCCTGCAACCGAGGTATGATGTGCCCTTGACCAGAATTGAATCTACGACAGGCTGACGTTCTATCCACTGAGCAAAACCAGCTAGGGCTTGATGCTTCTATTATCTTTGACCAACCTTTCTTGCCTTCCACCTTTAATGGTCCATTTAATTACATTGGGTCCACCTGGATGACCTCACTATTTTGTGTGTAACCTTAACTGATCTACAAAGTCCCTTTTGCTATGTAATTTAACATAAACAGGTATAGAACTGATCAGTAGAGCATGAGAACCTTTGAGGGGTGGCATTTTCCAGTCTACCATAGTAATTATACATCTGGAAAAAGAAAAATAATTCAGAAGTGCTTAAGGATAAAAGTAAAATTCCTCCTTTTTCAGCTATAATTCCTTTCCCACTTGACTCGATTATTGGAATTCAGTTGTAAGAGCCATTCTGTTGTTATGACCTAGATCTGCTCTAATTTGTATTTTTTTACATAAAATATTCACAAACTTTGATACATTGTTATAGATCTACTGTATGAAATTGCCAATATTTGATTGTTTCTAAGTATAAAAAGACAATTTCATGTGGTACTAATAACTTAAAACACATCTTACATTAATTATATCTTATAACTATTGGATATAATTTTATATTATGACAGGTTAGATAACTAATGTTATAGAATGAGGAATTTTTCTTAAATAGGTTTTGTAACTTAAAAACAAACAATTTATCTTGATTTAAAGCATTTCTAAACTATAAGCATGTATATCTTCCCAATTTTTATATGACTTTGGTCTCAGCTTTTGTTTAATAAAAAGCTTATTGATGGAACTGGAGAGGAGAACCAAGATGGCGGCATAGGTAAACACCTGTACTTGCTGCCTCTCACAACCACATCAAAACTACAACTAAAAGACAAAACAAATATCATCCAGAACCATGGGAAGGCTGGCTGAGTAGAAGTTCTACAACTAGAAGGAAAGAAAAAAG